TGAATCAGTAGTTCATGTAAGTTGCAATAAATAAATTTTTATTTTTTTAGAGTTTTGAAAAATTTATTGGCCTCTCTCAAAGCCAATTTCCCAACATATTCGATGTTGATGATATTCAATTACAGTATGACAATGTCAGCACCGATATGGATGTTATTGATATTGTCGGAGTTCCCACCCCTAGTACTACTACTAAGGAAAAGAAAAAGAAGGGTAATAAGTTGAGTAGCCCAATTTAGAAATTATTTAGTATAGAAGAGGTTGAAGGGAAGAGAAAAGAGTCGTTCGCTATAAATGTAAGAGTAACTTTAGTTATAGTAGCAAGAGTGGTAATGGACATTTGGGAAAACATATGCTCATTCATGAGGAAAATGAAGAAGGGAAACAATCATCACAAATAGAAATTGGACGTGGGTCTTTTGGTAATTTTAAATATTCTCAAGAAAAAAAGATGCAAGAGTTAACAAAATATATTGTACATGTTGAACAACCGTTTTTATTAGCTGAAGACACTAAGCTTGAACAATTTTTACAACATTCTATAAGACCCCAACTTAAGAAAGTTTCTAGAAACACTATTAGATCATATGCTTTAAAAATTTTTTATTCATATAAACAAAATTTAATTTCTACTTTATTAACACTTACTTCTAAAGTTGCAATTACTATTGATATTTGGATTTCTAAATATAATATAAGTTATATTTGTCTTATTGGACATTTTATTAATGAAAATTGGCCTTTTCAAAAAAGAATTCTCAGTTTTACTGGGCTTGAATGGCCACGTATTGGCCCAACAATTGCTATAAGTATTTTAAATACTTTAAAATAATTATGGAATTAAAAATACAATTTTTTCTATTAGTTTTGATAAAGCTAGTAATAATGATTCAACAATAAGTATTTTAAAATCTCAATTAAAACCATGTTTGAATGATAAATTATTTCATATTAGATGTGCATGTCATATCTTAAATTTATGTGTTCAGGATGTTTTAAAATTTATTTTTAAGGTTATAAATTGTATTATACATATATATCTATATATATATATATATATATATATATATTACAAGTTCTCAAACAAAAAACAAGAATTTAAATATTTATGTCAAAACTATAGTTTAAAATATAAAAATTTTGTATTAGATGTTTAACATAAGTGGAAATCTACCTATTCTACGTTTGAAAGTTGTATTTTATACAAAAATATTCTTACTAATTTTTATAATGAAAAATTCCAAATGATTTTATAAGTGAAGATAACCGGGAAATGGTAGTTTGTATAAAAGAATTTTTACAATTTTTTATGATACAATTAATGAATTTTTTGTGTTTATTACCCAACTAGCTATATTTTAGTTAATCATTTATTTATAATTAGTGAATATTTTTTAAAATATAGAAGTAATTTAAATTTTAAAAGTATTATTGAAATTATGAAATTTAACTTTAAAAAATATTGGAAAAATATTTCTCCTTTTGCTTAGCTACAATATCAGATCCTAGATTACTTGAATCATATTGTAAAAATATGAATACTGAAATTGGAAATAAAAAAGAATAAGTTAATAATTTATTATTTGAAATGTACAATTTATACGAATCTCAATTATTAGGGCATAGGAAAACTTGTACATGTGCAACTTCCACTTCTGAAACATTTATTTCTAGTAGTGAAAGAAAAAACTTTTGGTCTCTAATAAGTAAAAGGTAGAAATCCATTCTCACTTCATCAACAAGTTATTTAGTGAACTTAATTTTTATTTACAAGCAAATTTTTCTAATTTAAATGATTCCTTTGACTTAGAGGAAATAAACAATTTTGATATTTTAGCCTGGTGGAGTGAATATGGAAAAAATTATCTAGTTCATACTAGGGTCTTGGATGACAAGAATTTGCATAAACGATGAAAGCTTGGAGATATGCATATGCTTGAAAAATTGGTTGGATGTTGAGGATAAATTACAAGTTAAAGAAGGGCAGGGCACTTCACCTAATGTAGATGATTGGATTAGGGTCAAGGAGATGGAGTTGAAGGTGGAACTTAAAGAAAATGAAGTCAATATTTTTTTGTATGCTAAATAATTATATTGAATTTTTATTTTTAAAATTATTGTAAATTTTGTTTTCTAATTTTATTTAAATTATTTGTTATTTTTTCAACAATACCATTGCACCTTTTTATTTTCAATTTATAATTTTATTATATTGTTTTTATATTTTATTCCATTTCCAATATTTCGTTCATACATTGCATTGTTCAAATTCAAATGAAATAGAATTTCTAATTTGTTATCTATTTTGTATTTTGTTAAATTTTTATTTTTCCCATATTTTGTATCATTTTACTTAGAAAAAAATGAAAAAAAATAATCAAAATGTAAAAAAAAAATGATTGGCCTAGTTCAGCAAAGGCCCAAGCTCGGCCCTGGGCTAGGTCCACTTGGGTTCATGTTGTGAGCCATGTCAGGCTGGACCTTTGAAGTATCAAAGAGGAGGCAAGCATGACCCATACAAAGCACACGCCATGTGTGTAAAGCTTTAAAAACAGCTTGAACAATTAAGTTTTGGATTCAAGAATTGGCTCTAAATTCAGCTAATAAATTTGTGGGTCAGACATGGCCCAAATTAGGCTGAACACAAAACCTAGCCCCAAACCAAGACACCTAATAGAACAGGTTGTGTAAATCAAACAACCATATGATTATAATTAGTATTTTAGCCCACACCTACATTAATGTGAGTTCGGATCTCCTGCTCATGAGAACTCTGTCCACGCCTACCCACAATATACTACCACTATGAATTGGGAACATCTCCCCCTGCATAATACAGAGGATGAGATGTTCTCCATGTGTGGCTGCGATAAACGTGGGCAGAGTTCTTGTGGGCAGGAGATGCGGACTCCATTAATGTGTCATGCACGGAAAGCTTTTACCCAAAGAATTCAGATCTCCTACCCACAAGAATCCTATCCACACCTACCTATCTACAACAACTAAAATTGGGATCTCCCGAGTCCTGCCAACAAAACACATTCTAATGGAATCGACCATAAAAGTAGGACCCGTCATGTATGATATGTGTGATGTTCGATTATGTTGGTGGGGTGTTAGAACATGTTGTATTGCAACTCAGCTTCAGTTAGTGCAAGACATGTTCGAACAACCTTTATGGCCTTGCATTGAGAATATCTCCTTGTGAAATAAAGTACATAAGTATGAAAATATTACTAATGCAAGACCGTAAAGGCTATTCGAACGGGCCTTGTAACTGAAGCCGATCTCATTGTGTTGGTAGGAGACCTGGGCTCATGGACTCATGCTATGGGATATATTCTTAATATAAGTATGGCATGGGTAGGTTCTTTGTGAGTGGGAGATATGAACACAGTGTAACACCGTTTGTACAACATTGATATCCGTACATGAGGAATATCTCGTACTTGTATGCCATTTTTACGGATAGATATTTCCGATGCAAGGCTCGAAGGGAATATACGAACGGTGTGAGCACACAGTGTTGTGAGCACTGCAGCCGATTTCCTGTTTTCCGTCCAACATCCATCAATTTTGTACTTCTGTTGGAGAAATTGATTTTTTTTTTTTTTTTTGAGAAATGGATTTCAATGCTGCAATGCATCTCTGAGTAGGGGTGCTCACAGTTCGGTCGAACCAAACTGTGAAGCATTTTTTGGAACCAAAACTATTGGTTTTTGGATAACCGGTAATTGGAACAGAATCAAAGCCAGTCAATTAATCGGTTGACCGGTTCGATTAATCATCAGTTCAGTTTGTCGGTTTTTCAGTTTTTAATTTCTATAATATATATTATAAAAATATATAATAAAAAACTATAAATATATAAAATATTATACTTTAAATAATAAATAATATATTATAAATATATATTTATATATAATGCATATTTATTAATTTATAATATATAAAAATATAAAATATATATGATGTACATAAATATATATAAAAATATATGTATACCGATTAGTTCGGTTAAACAATTTTTCGGTTCGGTTTCGATTGGTTCAGTTTTTCTATTTTTTTTGCTCATCCCTTCTGAGACACTAACCGTAGGGGTGAGCAAAAAAACCCAAAAAACCGATCGATATCGAACCAAAAAATCGATTAACCGAACTAATTGGTTCGATTTCGGTTTGATATTCTTAAAAACCCGCTAGTTTCAATTCGGTTTCAGTTAACCATTTAAAAAAACCGGCAGTTAACCAAACCGACCAATATATATAGTAATATATATTATTTTTTTTTAAAATTGAATAAAAGAGTTGGTAGAGACTTTCAGCCTTTCTTTTAAAATCAGAACATTTTCTATTTTTTTGTCTTTTTCCCATAATGCAAGTGTTAGACTTCTTTTGACTCTTTTCTCTTCTCTCTTCTCTCTCTTAGTTTTCTCCTCTTCTAATCATCTTCTTCTTCGATTCTTCCTATTCTCCACTCTAGACGATCGTGCGGCCCGCACCAACCACCAGCACGACAGTACCAAGCGGCAACACCAACGGTTGTCACCTCGCCGTCAAGCAAGGACTGATCTCTATATCTCTTTTTTCTCTCTCTCACCTCTGCTCTCTGCATCTCCGTCAAGCTCTCAGGCTCTCACTTCAGGCTCTCTGCATTTTCGACAAGCAGCAACATTGGCACCAACCAATTCGGCATCGACAACAACCACCAACACCAACCAGTCCGACAACAACAGCAACCACCGACAATTTTAGTTTTTTTTTTTATTTTAAGTGCATAAAAAACTGAAAAACCAAGCCACGGTTAACCAGTCCACCGGTTAACTGGTCCAGTTAACCGATTGCATCGGTTCGATTTCGGTTTGGATATTTAAAAAACCGATCAGGTCGATTCGGTTTGAAAAAATATCCGACGGTTCGGTTAACCGAACCGTGAACACCCCTATCTAACCGTGTGTCTGTCGTGTTGGAGGCTGAACACAGAGTTTGGTTGTAGTTCTAGACGGCGTCTTCAATTACAATAACAGGGCCTTCAACGAAGCTTGCCCTTGTTAATGGAACGAAGAGATCATCAATCTTCACAAGGTCTGATTGTCTGATTTCTCGTTTTTTTCTACTTCTTGATGATCAAAACTGAAGCTGGTGATCTTCAATTCTCTCCCTTTACAGCTGAGACGGCTCGTATTCTTGTTGAATTCCTTGAAGTCGCCATCAGTTCCATTGTTTTCCTCAAAGGAGTTTACCCTCCTGGTCAGTATATCCTAGTTTACTTAAAGGGAAATTCATTGGTTTTTATGAAAACCCGGTGCGTATTCTCTTTCGAGGGAGGTATATTTTGAATTTCACCACCATTCACCATTGATGTTACAGGTGCATTTGAGAGGAGGCGTTATATGAACGTTGTGGTCCAGAGGACTCGACACCCTCAACTCAGAGAATACATCCATTCAGCAGTTACTGGACTTCTTCCCTTTATCCAGAAGGTTGGTTCGTTATCTTTTTCTTCTTTCATTCTTTCTTTCTCTTACCTAGTTAAGAATGAATAAAATCAGTTCATGGCCAAAAGCTGCACGAGAGAACTGATGTTTGGAAAAAGGCTGCATAAGAGAACTGAGGTTAGAAAAAAGAAAAAGAAAAACAAATAAACCGTTCATGGGGGAACTGCCTTAGAGTTTACAGGTATCCTAGTGTACATACTAAAAGGAAACTGATATAGTCCATATGATTTGTACACATCTTCTGTAACTTGTTTCTCTTTATGATATTTAACCCCCCTTTGGCCATAGTTTTTTTCTTTTCTTTTCTTTTTCTTAGGGGAGGCATTGTAGCGTTTTAGTCAATGTGGTGTTTTCCATTTGCCAAGTCAATAGACTAGGTAGAGCAGCCTTTATTTACGATTGCCCAGGCAACTGCTTTACATAGACTCTTTTTTTTTTATCAATACTTTACATAGACTCTTCCCATATGAAGCATCTGTATTTGTACATTCCTGCCAATATGTTAGTCTCATGTTAAACATTTTTCAATTAGTTGTGTACCTTGTGCAAGCAATTGATTGATTGCCTTCCTCACATGGCAATGCTTCAGGTGAAGTACCTTAGTTTTTCTAAACCCATAGTTTACTTCAGGTGGAGGGTGACCGCCTTCAAATTTGGGTATTAAAAAAGAGACAATGATGCCAACTTGGAGAATGTAAAGGCCTTGCTCCTACAAAAGTTCAAAAATAGGGGCAGAATCAGAATACATTAAATTAGAATTACAGTCTAAAATCACCGTTCCAATGGGGCAAAGGGCCCTGATATGTACTGTTCACAATCTAGACCAACTTATCATATAACTAAAACTTCATTGCAACATTGTTATGTAAGTTTAATAGTTTACTACATATTTTGTCTACATTTGCAACATTGATATGTAACTAACAGGGCAAACCAGAGGGAAATAAAGGGAGGGATTATTATTCGTATATATAATGTAAAAAGGAAACTTTACTGCTTTATTTGGTGCTTGGCACAACTCCTTTCACATACAACACCTTTAAATGAATAAATAAATAGAAAAGTTACTGATCAAAAGGGGGGAAAAACAGGACAAGCCAGAGGGTGAATGGAACCATGCATACCCCCTCCAAAAAGGTTATGAAAATTTTACTTGTATATACTGTGTAACTTGTACAGAAGTAACCCCTTCCTAACATAGGAAATATATACATTTATAGACCATAGTCACCTATATTTCTTACACATGCTATGCTTTTTAAATTGGCAAGTTACTTACTGTACAGTTCACACTTACACGGATTGCTTCATGATAATTTGTGGAAGCTTCCCTATATGGTCAGACGATGTATCTTTTAGAAATTTGAATATCCAGGTGTGCAAACTTAAATAGGAGACCTCTAATTGGGTATTTGTGTTACAATATAACACCCTTAAATTGATTGAAGTCAGTAAAGAAGTGATACTTAGTGATGAATGCACATTCCAGAGGAAGATATTTAATTGGGATGAATAGTTGTAGCTCCTTGTTTAGTTGCAGAGGTGACAGATTCACTAAAGAGTTTCTCAGAAAATTTGAAGTTAAAGACAGTGGCCATGTGAAGGATTGCATAGACTATTTGGAGTGACCTGTTCATGGGCAGGGCTTGGGATTAGCTTTTGCCAAAATTTGAATGGTCCTGGCCCAATGCCTGAGCCCGAAGCAGTGTAGAATGTTCATGGGCTGGGACCAAAGCCCGGCCCATGAATAGGTCTAGTGGTAGGTAGATACATTGAATCTTGGATATTTTGTTGATATTAAAACTATCAGAAGATGCCATTTTCTTTTCCATCCTCAAAATAGAGATGTCTCAGCAGTTCTTAGGTGGGAATGGTTCCACTGCTGGTTTCCTGAGTTCTGGTGGATGCAGTGGTTGGTTGCATTAGAAATGGTAAGTCTTTGCATTGGTATTAGAAATGCTAAGTTTTCATTTTTCAAAGTTGGTTTTTGTTATTGTCTCAACTCTCTCTCTCTCTCTTTCTCTCTCCTGTTGTGAAACTTTAAAATCGATTAGGTATGCATGCAGCCACTATGTTTCAGTTAATAGGAGGAATATTGACTGGAAGACTTTTAAGATTTGCAAGGATTTTGATTGAGGTGAAAGATACCTTCTAATTTTACATCATAGCATTTTACATATGAGCAGTAATATGAATTGATAAACTGAGGTGCCTACTATTTATTCTGGTTTTTACTATCCTGATCTCTTACCAGGCTGCATTCTTTTGGATGGGAAAAAGTTACACATATCAATTCTAAAGTGCCTATTTTTTGGATTATTAGGATATTCTACCTATCAGTTTCAGTTTTGGAGGAAACTAAATATCAGATGATATTTTGGGGCTAAGTGAATTGGTTTTGGGCTAGGAGTTGATCAGGCAGGGTCCATTGGTTAGGTCCTGTTTGCCACATATAAAATGTTATTGGCCTATCATTTCATTGTTTTTTTTTCCCACTAAATAGTTTGTTACTCAATGCCATACCCTTGCCTGTCACAAATTCCAGAGCAGATGTTGTACCCATGATGCTATCTCTTTCTTGTAACATGGTTGTTTATGCAATCAATGGAACAATATTTAATCAAACTCTTGTCTGTTCTCACTCCAGGGATTAGTGGAGAGAGTAGCAGTTATATTCTTCAATAATGAAAATGTTCCAGCTGAGAGATTTATATTCAAGCTTACAATTAATCAATCATATGGACAGAAGGTGGAAGAAGCTAATTTTGAGTTCTCACTTAGGTCATTCCTAATCAAGCTTTCAGTTTCTGAACCACTTACCAAGACTCTTCCAAGAGGTATGTACAAAATATAACAGTTTGAAGCAGTCACCCTGCTCACTTCTCAGTTTTTTTTTATGGGAATACTTCTCAGTTTGATATTATTATTTATACAATTTGCAACTACTTATGCTTTGTGTTGTAATTTGGAGAAAGGATCATCATTATCGTCTAAGCCTTGTCCCAACTATATGGGATTGGCTACATGAATCCTGTTCCTCCATTCCATTCTGTCCAATTTCGTATGGAAAAAAGGGCAGACCAGTGCGTGAGGCTCCCACCAATGTGGGTTTGGGGAGGGACAGGTGTGCACAACCTTAACGCTGTAGATACATAGAGTGGCTGCTTCCAATATTTGAACCCTGGTCACCCAGGTCGCAATGGAGCAACCCAACTGTTGCACAAGGCCCATGTTGACAGGTGTATTATATGTACTGTACACAGGTTTAGTACCCCTAGGGGTATTTTTGTAATTTTACAGTCTTATTGTGTTGTCCTCTTCTTTCTTCTTCTTTCTTCTTCTTCTTCTTCTTCTTCTTCTTCTTCTTCTTCTTCTTCTTCTTCCTTCCTCCTTTCTTCTTCTCCTTCTTCTCTTGCTCAACATGTTATCAGAGCAGGACCGTCCAGGCCTGGAAAACAACCAGCCGAGGTCTCTCTCCATTGCTGCGTAGAAGCTTAGTCCTGATGCTCGAAGACAAGGAAGAAGAAGTTGAACAAGTATTCTCTAGTGTTGTTACTAGTCTCCACTGCCGAATAGGGTTCTGCTACAAGAAAGCTAATTGTTCAACTTCCTAGTGTAGAAAGTTGTCTGTTCAACTTCCTTCAGCCTTAAGTGCTGGTAACTGGAGTTGCTCGGCTAAGAACACTGTAGAAAACCATCCCAGATGTACGAAGGAAGGTTCTGATTTGAAGAGAAGTTTGAGTCCTTGACTGTACTGCCTATTCACAGTTCGGGTGACCTAGGTACTGAACTGTTTTTTCTGTTTATGGTTCTCTTCTTGTACGACTGTTGATGTCCCAAAATCTGAGTAGGGACTGTCCCTCTTCCTCCGATTGTGTGTTGCTCTATTTTTCTCTCTAAGGGACTGTTGATGAACCCTAGACCCTAAGTGACTGTTCGGCTCCCCTGGAAAGTGGATATCAGCCAATTAGGTGTGGTGAACCACCACTCATATTACTGTTCCTACTGAGTTTTTTTTTTTCAGTTGAGAAGCTGTATTAAAGTTGTAAAGCTATAGGTCATTCAGACTTGGTTACACTGCAAGTGCAGTTCGTATATTGTTCTGTGGACTCCTACACAGTGTAGGTCATACAACCTAGTATTATTGCTGCAGTGTTTGTACTTGGTTCCCTGTGAAACTGAAAATCTGCAAGTGCCTAGTTGTGGACTATAGCAGCTCTGTAAGGCAGTGTGCCTTTGGTTCTGTGTACTTCTCAACCTAGAATCATGAATAGTGAAGATTCAGCTACATCCGGAATCTCCACAATGCTGAATGGAATGAGTGGGAACAGTGACCTATCCTTYCCTATGGYTGTTGTTCCTCTTGATGGGTTAAACTACCTAGAGTGGTCAAGGGGGATCAAGCTATACATAACTGCAAGGGGAAAAATAGGCTACATAAATGGAAGAATCAAAGAACCAATTTCTGGAAATGCAGAACATGATAGATGGGATCAGGAGAACAGCATGGTTATGTCTTGGCTTTTGATCTCCATGCAACCGCAAATAAGGAATGTGGGCTGAAACTGCAAATGAGATTTGGGAACAGGCAAAATCCACATATTCTGAACTTCGACACTATGCCAAGATTTATCAACTGCAAGCAGTTTCATCTACTTGTAAACAGGGAGAGAGGAGTTTATCAGTTTATTACTCTGACTTGACAACTGTTTGGAAGGAGTTGGACCATTACCAGAATATTGATTGGAAGTGTGATGAAGATGCAAAATTTTATAAGAAACTTGTCTCACAGCAAAGGGTGTTTGCCTTTTTTACATGGTCTCAATCCTATCTATGAATCCATCAGAGTACAAATTCTAAGTTCTAAGGATCTTCTTTCAATTCAGGAGGTCTATGCTCTTGTTCAGTCTGAAGAGAGAAGAAGAAACTTGATGAACAGCACCGGAGGGGATGCAATTGTGTTGGCGGCAAAGGGGGGTTCCTCTACTAGTGGTGGCCCTTCTTCCAAGAGAGGGGATCTCCAGAAGAAATCAGAAGGTAAGGAAAAATTGTGGTGCACTAATTGCCAGAAGCCCCGGTACACCAAAGATACCTGTTGGGATCTCCATGGGAAACCAAAGTGGGCTCAAGATCTACCTAAGAAGCAAGGCTCAGATGTAATTAGAAGACCCGGGCAACAAGGTACCAAGAAACACCACATGGCCAATATGGTTACTCGGGAGAATCAGCCCTCCACTTCTACTGTGACTCAAACACCACATGGCCAACATAGCTACTCTGGATCTAACCCAAGGGAGGATATTGTAAACTCCTTCTGTGACCATTTGGACCTTTATGGTAGAGCTATTCGCCAGATGGATGCTCCTCCCACCACCTCTTTTGCATCCACATCAGGTAATCCTGCCACAGCTTTCCATGTTGCTTCTCACGACCTTGACTCTCCATGGATCATTGATTCTGGAGCCTCAAAACACATGACTGGTATGTTTTCTTACTTTCAAACTTATCACCCTCTTTYCGGAAGAGATAAAGTGAGACTAGCTGATGGATCATACACTTCCATAGCTGGTCAAGGAACTCTCTCTCTTCCCCTCGGCCTTACTTTTTCTAATGTTCTTTATGTTCCAAAATTCCCTATGAATTTGTTTTCAGTCAGTAGTGTTACAAAT